CAACAGAGCCTTGAGCACCCCAAGTGTGCTGTATTATTGACCCCATATTGTCTTCACAATGCTCTGCCGGCCCTGTTTGGACCACAAAGTTTTCTGTGAAAATGTGAGCGAGGATTTCCTCTAGTTCCAAGTTGCTGATGGCAAGGCTCATGGTTTGGGGCTGGGGTTTGGGGAAGGCAGGACAGTGGGGTCTAGGGTGCTGTATTAGTTTCCTATTGCTGCTGTAGGAAATTACCACAAATTTAGTGGCTTAAAGGCACACAAGTTTACTGTCTTACAGTTCCAGAGATCAGAAGTCCTTCGTGGGTCTCAATGGGCTAAAATCAAGGTGCCTGCAGGGCTGCATTCCTTCTGGAGGCTCTAGGGAAGAATCTGTTTCCTTGCCTTTTCCAGCTTCTAGAGGCTGCCCACGTTCCTTGTCTCATGGCTCTCCTTCTCCATCTTCAAATCCTGCGGCGGTTAAGTCCGTCTCATGCTGCCATCTCGCTGGGTCTCTCTTCTCCCTCCCTCTTCCACTTCCAAAGACCAAAGTGACTACATTGGGCCTACCTGGATAATCCAGATTCATCTCCCCATGTCAACGTCAGCTGAGTAGCAACCTCAGTTCCATCTGCAACCTTCATTCCCCTTTGCCATATAAAGTAACATATTCACAGGTTCCAGGGATTCGGTCACAGACATCTTTGAGGGGCCGTTATTCTGCCACAGGTAACCAGGAGTAAGGGGGTCCATCCGAGTGTCACAGTTAATTGCTAAGTTTTATTGATAGTGTTTTGGAACTCCCAACAGAAACACCCTTATCTTTTACATCTCCCTAGGTGTTTTCCTTACTGCCTCTCACATGTAATGCTTTTGCAATACATTAATAGCTACAGAAGTCCAGCTTTTAGAAAGAGTAAACATGATTGAGCCACTGAAGTGACCTGGGCAGGCCTCATGGAGGGGGCTGGCCTTAGGGAAGGTGATGAATGTACAGGACAGGCTTCCAGAAGGGATATCTTGGGACACATGTAAAGATTTCAAGTTATTAGGAATGGCTAGGGATAGGTGGTGAGAAGAAAGGGTCGTGTTGGGGAAGCCACGTCAAGGAAGGGGATGATTCGAGAGACTCCTGAGTTTCAGCCTGACTATGGGTTTGTGTAAGCATACAGATTGGCCTTCTGCAAGAGCGTAAGATTGGGCCACGTCCTGGCCAGCCTGATCTTGCCGGTGAGGAGGAACTGTGAGGCCCTGATAACTGCTCTGCTCTGCCCCTCAGACGTGGGATGGAAATGACTCATGAATCTTCGGTTTCACCAAGAGCCTGCTTTGTAAACCAGTTTGAGGCCCACACTCTTTGCAGCATCTCATTCAAAGAAATTCCAGTCCAGCATCTAATAATACTTGAAAAGCAGTTTAAATCTTGACTTCAGTCTTGAGAAAATGCCAAAGAGGGCACGAAATTTTCAAAGCCCCGTTGCCTTTCCTTACATCTCTTTGACTCCCATACAAAGATCGGCCTCCCCGCTCCTGCTTCCACTCTAATGACTCAGGTCACAGGGACTTCTTTGCTTCCTTGTCTGTTTCACTCTCTTTCCTGTTTCTGTTCAATTTGGTGAAAGTCCAGCTAGGCTCTTGCTTCACGATCCAGGAAAGCAAAGGCAGGTTCTCCTCTGTGGGTGGCAGGGGGATGGGCTCTTGACACTCATACTCGTTTTTCCTGTCGCATTTAGTTCTTTCAGCCAAGGTAGAGAGCAGGGAGGCGAGGGCTGGCGGGCACGCAAGGCCATGGGCAGGGCGGTCCCCAGGCGGCTGTGGCCTTCTCCCTGCTAATGGAATCGGTGTCGTGAAGCAGCGAGGGCTCCACAAGAGCGGAACCGAAGCCGGCACCCGTGGGGCTGCAGGAAGAGGCAGAATCTTGCTGGGGTTTCATTTAAATGGATGCATTTTACAAATATTGGATTTTAGCTCACTCAAGAAACAATTAAACTCCAAATCGTGTTGTACATATTAAATCATAACAGTGGGGAGGCAAATGCAGAGGTGCTTAGCAGATTTAAGAATTAATAGAACAGAAATTGGTACCGTGAAATTAGCGCCTCGTCCATCTAATCGAATGGTGCATTTACCCACAGTGCCAAAATAGATACAGTTAGGCATAGCACTTATCTTTCCTGTGGCACCTGATGGCTGGAGGTCTTAAAGAACTTTTCAAATTACCCTTCTAAAGTAATTAAATCTCTGCCTGGAGGTAGGGGGAAGAAGAAGAAGCCATCCGTAAAATAAAATGCAAAGACTCTCGCTTTTCCTGTCGCTTTGTAATGCTGGCAGGCTGGTTTCTTTCTCTGTCCACACGTGCATTTTCGTGGAGCTGCCAGGTGACCACCAGCATTGGGTTGGTCTTCCTTGGGGCCACTGTAAATCCAGCCTTATCCTTGGAATCTTGCCCGCCAGTTCTTCTAGAAGTGACTGCCTCTTCTGATCTACTGAAATCCTTAATACGTGGAAGTAAATGCTAAGTACCTTGTATTATTAATAGACTGAGCTCCACAATCAGGTTCTTGTCTTTTGGGGAGTATGGGCCATGCCTTTCTTTTTTTTTTTTTTTGCGGTACGCGGGCCTCTCACTGCCGTGGCCTCTCCCGTTGCGGAGCACAGGCTCCGGACGCGCAGGCTCAGTGGCCATGGCTCACGGGCCCAGCCGCTCCGCGGCATGTGGGATCTTCCTGGACCGGGGCACGAACCCGTGTCCCCTGCATCGGCAGGCGGACTCTCAACCACTGCGCCACCAGGGAAGCCCCCATGTCTTTCTTATATGTGTTTTGTTTTGTTTTTCCTGCAGCTCCCAGCATGGTGTTTCATACATAGCTGGTGCCAGGAGGAATATTAAAAATATTTAATAACTGACTAGGGCACCAACTGATCAGAACAGATGTTGGGGGCTAACACCCAGTACAGCGATGCCACCATGAACCCACTAAATGTCAGCCCTGTAGGGTACAGAATTGTTCATTGGCTTACAAAATGGACCCAGGCTGTGACCGGTTCCTTCTTCTGGAGCAGAGGGTATTGCCAATATGACTAATATAATTGGAAAGCTATAGCATCTTTATTTTACAAGTGGACAGACATTTTAAACTAACTTCCTGAATGATACTGCGGCTTGCAAACTGCATTTAAGTTTTGCATGTAACGACAATATGATGACACTTATAATGACAATGCCACACATTTTTATGATTCTTTATAAATTCTTAAAAGAATGTTCCCATCTGTGATCTCATTTTATTTTCTTAGCAACTCTGAGATAAATATGACAGATATTAATATTCTCAAATTATAAAGAAATGGAACATCACAAAGATTATGCCTTGGGTATTGCATCATGTAAATATTCACACACATGCCCCTATGCACACATATGTACATGAACAGACTTACACGTAAAAGGATGATGCCTATGCTTGGGAAGCAGATGGTTCAAAGAGATGAGAAGTCCTGGTATTGTTTAAGAATACGTACAGTGCAACACATTGAAAGTTTGGAGGGTGGACAGAAACATTAGGATTCATCTCAGGTGGATGAAGCTTCTCACCAGAAGTGTGTTTAGAACAGGAGTTTTGAGAAACTCAAAAGAGTGAAGCAACTTCAGGAGTTTGGGGTATATATTTATACTTATATAACTGGTTAAAATTTCTCAGTCTAGTACAGGTTACCGTATCCTGGGATCCAACGATAAACTTTCAAAAGGGTCTTTGAATACTCTGAAATTATATACGGCACTTTGTATGTATAGATGTGAACTTATCTGGGGAGTGAATCCATGGATTTCATTAAGTTTTCAAAGACTCTGTCATTCAAAATAGTTTAATAATCTCTGCTTCAGGGAGTCTCAGTTATTTACCTTAAATGATTAATAGAGTAGCATAAATTAGGGTTTAGGATTAACACAAATAATTTGCAGACTTATAATGATGTATGAGTTTAAGTGGTTCGTTAACCTATACACTCTCATGGCAAGAATATACTTATTATCTTTTATTCTAAGTCTTCTTTTCTAGGTTGCTTTGCTGTTTCTACTATTTCCAGCTTCCTCAATCTCCTTTTCTGGAAGCCTTAATTTTACAATTTTCTGCACCTCTAGGCAATTTCCCTCTTACTATTTAGGGTACAAAAGAACTTGAATGACCCCAGGCTCTAGAGAAGGACTGTAAGTTTCTACCACAAGCACCCTCCTGAGTAAATGCCATCACTCAGACCCTCGAATTCTCACCTAGACTTTTCTGTCCATATTATGCCCAAGAGCTGAATGGTTTGCACATTCTTTCTCTATTACCCAACCTATTAATTTTCTGATCAAGAGTAACTGCTACCACATGACTACCTTGTTGGTGACAGTAACATATTGACTCGATTAACTTTCAAGGGGGAAGTAATAGAGGTTAATGGCCCACATTTGTTTATATCCTGTTAATAGGTGAGGCTATGGGGGATTGTGGAAAAGACTGGAAATTAGGGCCTCTGGGTTTCATCCCAGCTCTACCACTGCATGCCCTCTGCCTAACACGTAACCTCTTCTCATCTCTGAAATGGCCTCAGTTGTGAGAGGTCCTTTCTGACATACATTTATATGATTCTTTAATAGGGCACCTGAGCAGATAGAGAATCATTTTGGAGAGATCTCCAACTCTCAGAGATAATTTTGGAGTTTCCAAAATGCTTGCCTCATCTCTCGCTTAATCAGTGGTTTGTGAGAAATCACTGTGGTTATTGAAGCACAGGGCACCGTTTTTACAGCTTCCATTAAGGAGTGAAGCCAGGCTGTGGCTGCGCTGGCTCAATAAATCATTTGTACTGGGAATGTATTTGTCAGTTTTTCCGCAGATTGTGTGATTACGGCATCGTTTTATTTCCAATGCTCATAAGTGGGGATTAGAGCTGACATTTGGTAATTGAAACAGTGTTCTACCTTTCATAGCACAGTTAGCAGGAATTGTTAAGAGTTTTATTTCTCTCCAAAGGGTTTTCTCTTGCTGGCTGCCTCCAAGTTCCCAGGGTTTCACACATTCTGCACCGGGCGGGCTCGCCAGGACATCGAAGACCACTACCAACAGCTGCTACAAGTTTAAAATCTTTAGAAGAAGGAACAGATTGCAGTTTGCTCCTGAGGGTTTGTTGAGTTTACATTTCTGAAATGTTAAGAGACACACAGTATAAGAATTTTGAACATTTTGCCTTGTGCCTTTATTTATTTATTTTGATTGAAGTATAGTTGATTTAATATCTGCTGTATAGCAAAGTGATTCAGTTATACATCTATATACATTCTTTTTCATATTCTTAAGAATTTTGAACATTATTAATGAGTAGAGTTCTTCCTTCTTCAGGTCTGAAGGGAAAGGGTTCTCTTCTTTCCATGATCCTTCTTGCTCACCAACTCCCAGCATCGCTGTCACTGTGTGCCAGACCCCGTCAGTATTCATCACAATGACCCTAAGGGGTCCTCAACATAATAGTCTGCATTTTATCGCAGTGTGAGCTGATTGGCTCCAAATCAGGAGTCTGCCTTCCCCACTGGCACCCCATTGCTTCACACATTCACATCACTTTCAGAGGGATTTCTTTTCTCATTATTGTTAATGCTGTTCTACCTATAATGGCGTTAGAGTCGACAGCTTTGCCCTACGCCACCTCCTCTCACCCTAATCACACATATCCACACACACACAGGGACACACGCACAATCCCTCACACACAGACATCAGCACAGACACGTGCACATAAACTATCAGAGGCTCTATCGCATGCGTATGCACACACGTGCACACGCACACACTCACACTCACACACATTGAAAGTAAAACCCCCAGAGTTTCCATGGTGCAGTTTCCCGAGACTCCTCTTCTCCCTCACCCGGGACTCTGACTCTCTGCTGCTCTAAGTTGCCCGCCTCTGACCCCTGCTTCTCCCTTCCTGAGCAGTGTAGCCAGCTTCCTGCATCTTCCACCTCCTGCTAAGGATAGAGGTGTGGGGCTGAGAGGTTAAGGCAAAAGGCTCTGTCTGCATGCCTGTGGGAGTTTTTAGGCAGACAGATGGTTGGGATCAGGGGCGAGGTTGGCGCCAGTACCTGGTAGTGGGGTCATGTCCTACCGCTGCTGGGCTGACATGGGGACATAAAATCTTACCCCTCGACACTGTAGGAATGGGGCTGCCCCAGGAACCTGGCAGGGCGGTGCAAGCCTGGGGAAGTATGGAAAAGGACCCATGGCTAGTTTATATATATATATATATATATATATATATATTTTTTTTTAGTGGTACGCGGGCCTCTCACTGCTGTGGCCTCTCCCGTTGCGGAGCACAGGCTCCGGATGCACAGGCTCAGCGACCGATCACGGGCCTAGCCGCTCCGCGGCATGTGGGATCTTCCTGGACCGGAGCACGAACCCGTGTCCCCTGCATCGGCAGGCGGACTCTCAACCACTGCGCCACCAGGGAAGCCCCTATATATTTTTTTAATTAATTTTTTATTGGAGTAGAGTTGCTTTACAATATTGTGTTTCTACTGTGCAGCAAAGTGAATCAGCTATACGTCTATATATATCCCCTCATTTTGGATTTCCTTCCCGTTTAGGTCACCACAGAGCACTGAACAGAGTTCCCTGTGCTATACGGTAGGTTCTCATGAGGCATCTATTTTATACATGGTATCAATGGTGTATATGCGTCCATCGCACTCTTGCTTGCCTCGCCCGTACCGCCTCTCCCGAGGTGCCCCGTAGTGACCCAGCAATAATAACACAAGATTCATAATAGTGTGGTTTTAGAGGCAAACAACTTCTCCCTTTGGCCGGCTGATGTCAGAAATTCCCTTGGAGATGAACAAAGTCGTATGCCTTCTCCCAAGTTTAAAGATAAGGGGGAGCATGTGGGTGTCCTCAGAGAGCTGACCTAGTGGCTTTCACACACACAAAGATCGCTGTGGTGTGAGCTCAGAGCCACGGGCTGGGGCTGGGACAATGGGCTCCCTCTGGTGGCCTCAGACAAACCGCCACCTCTCTCTGTGTCGTATTTTTCCCATCTGCCGAAAGATGAAAGTGTTGGCTTAGAAAATCCCCAAAGCCCTTTCATGGCTAACTTCCAGATATGTGTATTATGATAAGTTGACCATGAAGCACTTTCATATTTTAATGGGGGTGGGGTAAAATGAGGACACAAGGGAACCAGCACCTGAAAGGGACCCAAGTGAAGTAGGGACATAGGCCCTAAGGTCAGGCCTCCTCACTTCAAACTGGTAAATCAAGGCTTTGGCCAGAGGTATGTTAGGTTGTCTGAGCTGGGCGTGTTCTGATCTCCACGGGGAGACGGCTTCCAAAGTTTGATGAGGATGGAGGATCTGCAAAGGTAAGAAGGGGACGAGGAAATAGCCTGTTTCACAATCTCATCAAGGGTCTCCTGGTTGCATTAGATTAGGCACTGTAAGAATTACAGGCAGGCACAACTCCTGCCTAGTGGAGTCTCACAAGCTGTGTGACCCTGGGAAAGCTGCTTAACCTCTCTGAACTTCAGATGATTCCCCTCTAAGGTAGGGATAACAATTCCTACCTGGGAGGCTTCGTGAGCTAGGGTTTGCAGAAACGCCAGCTAGAGAGCAGAGTATATACGGCAGGCTGTTCGTGAATGGTCTCACAGAGATGCATCCATGGCTCAGACACTTGACCTGGGATTGTAGCAAGTTCCATAGAGCAGAGAATAACATGAATAAATAACATTTAGCTCTTTGGTGTTCGGAAAGCATTTTGCTTTTAAATACTCCTGCCTGCAGGAGGTTTTCTAAAGGTCAGCTCCATACAGCTTATTAAGGAAGGTGATTAAATCAGTTGGCAGTTTGAGAAGAAAAAGCAGATGGATTTCAACAGCATCCTCCCCTCACGATTGACATTTTCTTTTACAAATCAAGGTGAGATTGTGGATTTGCTCTCGTGGTTCTCCGAAGGAGACCGTGGTGGTGCTGGGATGCGGCTCCGGTGCCTTCTGCCTTGTTTACGCCCAGCTGTTATTCTTGTTCCTGTCACTGCCAGTTACTGAAGAATCCATCATGCCTGAGACTCACAAGGGGGCTTCTTTTCTGCTTCCTGAGGAGGAGTGGCAGGGGCAGTGGAGGTGAACAAATTGGATTGATTACCATCTGAAGACAGGGTTCGAGCTTCTGTCCTAATCATGCTGGCGGGACCGCCAGGCTGTCTGATTCACTCAGACAAAAGCCCTGAGAAAACAGGGAGGGTTAGGAGCCCATATGCTCACCTGGTAGTCTAGCGGCCGCTCTGGATTGAGCAGGACTTCAGAAATAAGGAGAACATTTTTACTGCTAATAACCTCCCACAAATGTCATAACCAAGGCTCTGAATGCAAGAGACATGCCAAGATCTAATTCCACGCACTTATGTGTGTGGCTTTCTGATATCGACTGAGGTATTAATTGCTGCGTGTGTTCCTTTTTGTACTCTCCTTCCTGCAGGTAACTGGCTCAGCACATCATTGATTCGGGAGAGCTACGTGGTGGGGTAGAAGGTAGAAGTGGCCTGTTAGTCCCTCTGTCTCTGCTTTTTCAAAAGCTGAATTGCTCAGGAGAACAAATAGGGTTTGCTGAGGAGGTAGAAAGAAAGGAGAAGTGATTTTAGAGAATTGTTAGAGAAGCAAGAGAGATCAAAAGACTCTCTCCACTGACCCCCACCCCACCCTGCCCTCTACTAGGCTGGGAGATGAGGGAGAGAGATATCGGAAGCACTGAGATAACTTACTCATCAATCCTATTTTGTTCTATGTATTCATGTATTTATCACTCCTGGGTGCCCACTTCTGGGTGTACACTTCCTTCTCTCCTTACTAGGACCAAAGCCTTTGGCTCATCTCATGAGCTCATGTATTGCCTGTTTCCTCTGTTTCTGGAAGACTGGTTTTATGAAATATCTGGAATTTCTCATATCACAAAGAAAAAGTGCAGATTTTCCAGAATGACCAGGGGGTCTGTACACATAGCACTGAGCATCGTTGGAGAGATTAGAACTGAAGACATTCTTCTAAGATAAGATGTTACTATAAGGCGGAATGCATAACAACAGTGTACAATGTTTCCTAGGAACTCCAGCATTTCAATTTTATTATACTTTTATTGAATATTCAATAAAAGAATATGACACCCTTTCAAATCGTGTTCTTGTAACCTCCTGCTATGAAGATAAATGAAGACAGATCTGTGCTATCAGCACAAGTGGCATTCAACCGATTCTAAAACTTATATTTTTCCTGTATTGAGCATATTTTAAATGCACAGCGTTAAAATCCTTGTTTCCTAATAGCTCAGTCCTTTCACTTGCATATCACATTGCATTCAACAGTTCAGCATTTTTGTCTGAGAACATTTTTGGACGCTAGTTGGTGCTATTGTTGGCTAGTAATGGTACTGTTTCCTTCATTCATTCCACAAAAATTTATTGAGTGCCTACTCATTGCCAGGCATTGCGTTAGGCTCTAGAGAGGACTAGGACATACTGTCTTCGTTGTCAATGAGTTTGCAGTCGACCAGGCAAGATGAACTCAGCTGACTCTATCTTAATGATCCTCTAAGCTCCGTAGCAATGTGAGGCAGAGGGTGATACGATGGGCACCCAATCCTGGCTGCAGGGGGCCGAGGAGAGGCAGGGCAGGGAGGGCTTCCACAAGCAGAGGAGTAAGGGTTACCCAGGGGAAGGGGAAACGGGGAAAGAGGCAGCAGCATGTCCAAGGGTAGGTATCCATCAACTGGACATGCCTATTTGACTCAGGGACAATTTCAGATTTCAAAACACAAACCAGTAACTTCCGGCTGAGTAATACATGTAATAGACAACCCTATGCTGGTGCTCGCCTCACTCACATTTATAGTCCAGACTCCACCAGTTAAATCATGCTCCTTTACATGGAGGAGTGAAATTACTTTCCAAAAAATTGCAAATGTATGTGCAAAAATGCAACGTTTAACATTTTTGCATAGTGATGACTCTGTCCCGTCTTCCTGGAAAATTGCAGTACTTGCCCCCAGACCAGTGCCTCCAGGGGAATCCAGCTTTCAGAGTCTGTACCTTCTTCTGCCCCTTCCACTGGGTGCCTTGTCAGGCTGCTGGACCTGGAAGTTATCCTCCCTCTTGCCTCTGGTCCTCCACAAGCCTGAAGTAAGTCTTTGATTTCATGAAAGGAGAGATCTTTCTTGGACTGTCCAGTTCTCCAAAGCAGGAACATGTCAATGGAGTCTTTTAAAAGCAATAGAGGTGGCAGTAGGACCCAACAAGTTCACTGGACTTGGCCATTAGGAGGCCATTGATGACCTTGGCTTGAGCAGAGAAGCCAGATTGGGGTGGGTTGAGGAATGAATGAGAGCTGTGCAAATGGAAATCATGAGTGGGGTCTTCTCAGTTAGGACTTGGCTTGACAAAGGCGAGTAGAAAGGGACTAGACGGTGGGTGCAGGGACAAGTTGAGATACAGAGAAAACAGGTCTAGACATTTCCCATGCTACCTATTGCCACTTTTCATGCTCTTAAACCTGAAAGTCACTTAAAAAAGGTACTTGTACATTTCAGTTTTTCCCCCAAATAGCCATTGTTTCCTAAACAGAAAAAGTTTAACATCCTCTGCCTATCACTGACATCCAGAAAGAAAATGCAGTTCATTTTTTCCCTTTCAAATCATTAAGAACAATTCAATCACTTCGGGAAAATTCTTGTCATTGTCAGTGTGCCGAAACAAGCTGTGGTTCTGCCCATGGGCACCGCGTTAATACATACATTTATTCTCTTTGCTCGCACAGAGACCCTGGGTTGCTTGTTTCCGTAAAGGCTGCCTGTCATCTCTTATGGGACCTTCATGTGTCAGTGATACCGGTTACCTCATGTCACAGCCCATCAGTCGGCTTATCTCCAGAAGAATGTGAAATTGCCTAACAAGCCTGCAAATGTGAAGGGCTCCACGGTGGCTTAATCACACATGATGTTCCCCTGTCTCATCAGTCCCTATACTGAGGCTGCACCTCTCATTTCTTAGACAAATACATTTCCTAGAGCTGTGGCTGGACTATCCCAGTTGTGTGGGGTTTTAACCCCCATTCCTCAATTCCAGGGTGAATTTCATTCTGGAAGCCCTCCCGTGCCCTTCTCCCCACCTTAGAATATTTCAATCATCTCCTTCCCTAAAACTGATCTGGGCAATCTGGCAACCTGGCAAAATTATTTTAAGCCCAGGCTTTTAACTGTGTTTGGAGTGAGTGATAGCCTTGGAAACTTACTTGGGGGTAATGCACACATCCAAGTATATATGTCCAGCAACGTTTGCCCCTTTGGGAGGGTGTGTACTCCCTTGATGCTTGCCCTCTTTGCAGAATTCTCCTGCCAGGGTCTTCTATAATCCACTAGCTGTCAGCAGGGATGGTTGTGATCAAAACTGCCCCCTCCAAAAAAGGTGCACGTTCTGTGAAGTGAAAGACATCATGGTGGATGCAAAGATGAATAAAACGATGGCCCAGCCCTCAACAAGGCAGAGGGCCATACAGTGTATCAACGGTACATGTATTATATAAAGGACTAGGAAGCTGGGGACACAGTGTCATGAAGGAGCCAATAGTGTGATTATTTCTTAGTGTGATTATTTCTTAAAAGAAGGAGACGAACATGCCCAGGATAAGTCAGTGCTTTGTTCTGTGGTCCAGAGGTTTTGGGGGCAGCTGCTTCCTTATAGAATTTGTATTAACAACATTTAGAAATTTTCTGTATTCCTGATGCTGTGGCATTTGTGGCCTCGCTGGCTGGGGAAAGACTGCTGTTCCAAGGGGGCTAGTGAGTTCTTAGAGACAGCAAAACGCTCACCCCCAGGAGCATCCCTTTCATTTGCAAACTAACAAATCCAGAACCTTTCCTCTGAACTACCTCCTCTCTCTGGCTCAGACACTCTAGGAGGCAGGATTCCTCTGCCCTAATCAGCCAGAAGTGGGTACTAGACAACTAGAGACCACCTCTGTACCCAGAGCCCACTGATTATTCAGACGAACCAGTCCTAAACTGGTTCCTGCGGAAAGCACAATAAATGCTCTGGGCCATGATTTCCATTCACCCCTTTGGGCTCCTGACCAAACCTGGTGTTTTCCCATGTGACCCTGCATGGAGTAACATGCCCCATCCTCTCCGGAAGTGTAGTACTGAAACAAAATGTCTACACTGAACTCCTTTCAATGGCATTAGCCTCTCTGTGTTGTCACTCAGTCACCTCTATAAATTAACATCGTGCAGGTGCATTTTGAGATAGAAGTGGGCTCTGAGATGGAGGGTAACCCCGTAAGAAGAAAAGATCTTGGGTCTTGGGCCATCTGCTTCCTAGGGCTTATGGGGTGTGGGAGTGAGCCTTTCCCCTTGTCATTAAATTATTTACAAAAACATGATTTATAGCAGCGGCATACTTACATTTACATAATAATTTATTTAATTAACCTCCTGATTTATGTAAAAGAATGTTGTTTTTATTTTTCCGCTCATAAATATTTCTGTGATAAGCATACTTTTAGATAAAGTGTGAACGTTCTTGTTTCTTTCCTTTAAGAAATTTTAAAGGTAAAATGACTGAACCCAAAGAGACATTTTTGCTGAGGTGGGATGAGCTGAAAAGAGATGTGTACCCTGAAATTTTCTGAAGGTGTGTTTGTTTCTGTTTCTGCTTCTTATTTTAAAATAAGACTTAAAATCATGGTCTTCGGGCTTCCCTGGTGGTGCAGTGGCTGAGAGTCCGCCTGCCGATGCAGGGGACACGGGTTCGTGCCCCGGTCCGGGAAGATCCCACATGCCGCAGAGCGGCTGGGCCTGTGAGCCATGGCCGCTGAGCCTGTGCGTCCGGAGCCTGTGCTCCGCAACGGAAGAGGCCACAGCAGTGAGAGGCCCGTGTACCGAAAAAAAAAAAAAAATCATGGTTTTCTAGGTAAGGTAAACAATTTCCATACTTCTCAACCCTCAACTCTCTCTGCCCATATACCGGGCTAATTGCCAGTGGGCAGTTTTAAAACTCACACATGTTTTCATCTTTATAGTTAACTCAATTTATATAATACGTGGCCACTTCCCACATGTTAATAAACACAGACAGTAAAATTGTTAGACAGTGATTTCATCATTGTCTCCACAGTTCTTTTAAGTGCTTCAACATGCCTGTCACTGCTTTTTGCTGTAGCTGAGTAAGAGACCATCCCAGACCTCACAGACTGGGCTATTTGGTGCAGACATTGTTGAGTGAGCAGAGAAAAGATGACAACAGTGGTCAGAACCCTGGACACGTGCAGAATCAAATGAAATGTGACTCTAAGTTGACAGCTGATGTTTTTTTAGAAGTGGAGACATTAGGACTTCTACATCCAAGTGACTATGTCCTCGGGAACAAAGGCACATTAGAGGCTCTGTACCTAGAAGAGTGACACTGCTGTTTCCTTTTGGGAGTGTCCTTGTCATGTGCAACACCTACGGCCACATTTTCTTGATACTCCTCAGTGGCAGCGAGTCTTTATTCTTTGCGAGTGGATTTGCTTATTGACAAATTTCACTTGTCACCCGGACCCCAGTCTGAAGTTGTTCTGGGTCAAAAGGAACCAGGACTTCTTTAAGGCAAAGTCATCACTTTTTTCCTGTAGCTTATAAACTGGTTCTGAAGACAATTCTCAAAGACAAGATTTCCAAAATATTTTGGGCAATAGCAGAATCTCCAGCCTGGACCTTTGGACTCCCAAATGGATACTCAGATATAACATGTTTGGACACACACATGCACATGCACATACAATGATATTGGCCAAGGGGTCAAGGGAATGGACTGGGTGTCTGCTAAGGACCTTTCTAACTCTAGGGGTCTTTGCTTCTATTATCAATTTGATTAGTCAGGGAAAGCCTGGGAAGTGTCAAAGCCATCTTTATACCATCTACCATTCATATTTACCTCTGTAATCAGAGCAAGAGGACATCTCCCCTGTGATAAGTAGCCCAAATGGAAAAGGCCAGTGGGACTCATTTCTGGGTATTAGTCAAAACTGGGTGTGCCTAACAAAAGCAATGAATGTTATTTTCAGTTTCAGATCATTGTCTAAGTGAAATGGCTAAAATTAACTTCCTTAAGTATCACGGGAACCCAAGCATCCTCCAGAGGAAGAGGCTGTGAGGGGAATGGTGTGCACTCCACATCTGAGACCCCTGGCCTTGGCTTGACCAAAGCTCTTAGGGAGGCCCTGTGAAAATTTGCTGACTAGTCAGACCAGCAGCTGCTCATTGTACTGTTGTCTAAGAGTCGGTTTCATCCTTAAGGCACTGCTGGGGAGTCAGTCCCAGTCTTGCCTATCTCTTGGGGGTTATTACAGGTGTTAAAGAGGTAGTGCAGATAAAAAACCTTTAAAAATGTTTTATATTTATATTCCCATTACTAGGCTATGAGTTATCTAATAATATCAAAGACATTATATAGTCTGGGAAGTGGATTACTAGAATAAGTCCATCTTAGAATCAAGAAAATGTGCTAATAACTTATGGAAGTCACACCAAAGGTGGTTTAAGAGATGGATGTTAGTGGCTTGGTGGCAGGTGTTATAGAGAAAACTCAGCTCAGAGACTTGAAACCCATCGCCCATGCCTTCCCTTTCTCCTGACTGCTCATTCCCATACTGGCTCTGGATTTAAGGTTGAAGCTTGGGGATAGGGCGAGGGGCACGTTCCCCCCAGGAGTCACCAGCTGTGCTCCTGGGGCCCCTGGGCCGGTACTGTGACCTCTCTGTTTGTACACCTCCATGGTTTACTCTAGGACAGATTGAATTGGAAGAAATGTATGGTTCAGGGAAGAGCATAATGAAAGCAGGAACTACTTATTCATAACGCAAATACACATTGAGCCCTTATTATAAAGCATAGCGCTAAAAGCTGGTACTGCAGAGGGGAGCATTAAGTGGGCAAGAAAATCAATGTAGAGAGAAATGAAGCTACATTTCTCCAAAACATCCTTAAGATGTTACAGAAAAAGCTGAACAAAATTTTTGGCCAACCCAATAGAATGAAGGGAGGGAGGACACAGTTTGGGCAATGGAAGCGGATATGAGATATTCTCTCAAAACTGTCCATCCCCTCCCACTGCTACCCTCTACTGTAAGCTACCATTATCTACTGCCTGGGCTATTAGCCTCTTAGCTGAACCACTAACAGACACTCTGGTCCCCTTCTAATCTGTTCTTCTACTTGCACCCATCTCTAAAAATTCAAGGCTGTTCGTGACACTTCTCTGCCTATTACCCTTCATGGCTTCCCACTGCTCCTAAGATGAAGACTAAACTCTTAAGTGGACCAGCAAAGCCTGCATGGTCTGGTTCCTACTCTCTCTTCACCTCATCGTGCATCACACTTTCTCCAAGCTTCTGTTGCCACATGCTGGTTCTCTTTTTGTCCTGTATGGTCATCACGTTCCTTGCAGGGACAGGGGCTTTCAGTTCCTTCTGCCTGGTGCACTCTATACAGGGTGAATTTCCACATTTCCAGAGTGGATGATCACTTAATGCCAGAGTCCTTCCTTGATCTCTTTGTTTAGGTCAAACCCCCAATAGTGGGTGTGTCCTACATCACCTTTGTAGCAGTTTTACATGCTGGACTGTGGTGTTTGGTTATGATTCTTTCCCCTGCTGATATACTAGTTCTCTGAAGAGAGGGACCTCATCTGGTTTGGGTTACAGAGGTGTTCCCAGCACCTGATACATAGTAGGGGCTCATTAATATATGTTGAATCAATCAATAAAAGCAAATAGTGAGAAATAATGAAATCCCACTCTAAGACTGGACCAAAGAAATCTTCTCAAAGGTGTTGTCCTGACAGGAACGTTGAGTAAGTTTATAAGGTAACTCACCTGTCTGCCTTTTCTCCTCCAGATGAACAGAAATTCTATTTTCTAACTTTGAATCTCTTTACTGCATTCAAAGTCATTTCTAACATGCAGCTTCTTAAATTTCTCATATTAAAACAGCTTGAAATTCTAGGTGGAAAAGAGTCTTTTTCTATGAAAGCAAATAATTTAGATGTTATTCAGTTTGATCTGCAAACCAAGAAAATACCCAGAGTCAATTAGGCTTACTCAGGGGCTAGTAGGTGGTCCTGTGTCTCTGAAGCCGTTTCTTTTTCTTTTGCTTTACAGATGTGACTGTGGAAGCCAATATGATAATACAGAGTGACATTCATGTACTGCCAGCGGATTTAGCTGTTTTCTCGCCAAATGTTATGTTTGTTAAGACTGAGCTATCATCAAAACAAAACAAAGGAGTCGTTCAGGAAGTGAGTTCGAAATGCAATCTGGTATTACATTTCTGATAACAAGAATAAATCAGTTCCAATGAGTCTCAGTAAACAGGTTTTGACGTCCTTTGTAATTTTTAAATGATATCCTTAACTTATTACTTACGTGCGATTTATTTGAAGGGATTACCACTCATATATTAAAGACTCCAAGTCTGAGGATCTTTAATCAACTCCCATATCGTCAGTCATCAGGACAGAATGTTGAGGGAGAGCATATACTGCCTTCTAATAAACCTTCCCAAGGCCTAGAGAAGCTGCAGAGACAGCAGGTTTCAGATTTTATATGGCATTTGCTCAGTTCAGTGAGCATCTGCTGGGTACCATTTTGTAGCAAGCACTATGCCAGCCAAAGAGGGAGGAGAGCAAGAATGGTAGTCAGTGACTTGAAGTAGCTTCTTCTTAATGTTTATTCTATGGCTGGGCAGCAGGCTTGAGAAGCACTGCCTTATAGTTACAAGTATTACAGTCCCTATTGATGAGATCCTTCACTGCTTAAGGAAGGGCATTGAAACTACAGGCTTAATTAGGGCAAAAAAAATTACAAATCCAAGTCGTAAAAGTGGTTCCCTCCGAAAATCCACATTGTGGTAATTAATGGCAATCTGTCCCATGTATTTTAAAAGGCGAGAGGTGGGGCTTCCCTGGTGGCGCAGTGGTTTAGAGTCCGCCTGCCGATGCAGGGGCTGCGGGTTCGTGCCCCGGCCCGGGAAGATCCCACATGCCGCGGAGCGGCTGTGCCTGTGATCCATGGCCGCTGAGCCTGCGCGTCCGGAGCCCGTGCTCCGCAGCGGGAGGGGCCGCAACGGTGAGAGGCCCGCGTACCGCAAAAAAAAAAAAAAAAAAAAAAAAAAAGGCGAGAGGTGGAGAAAAGATGAATGGTTCTTCTCTGAAGACATAGGTTGTCTCTGAAAGTTAAAGGAGATTTTGTCTGTTTCTTGAAGTGTCTTCTAATTTTTTGCCTACGGGCTACTTTTTATAATAGGATACTTGTTCATGAAACTGTTTCTTGATCTTTGCTTGAAAATCCCCTTTTATACCAGCAAAAATCTGCCGCAGCTGGGATCCCACGCGCTCCTATTTTAAACACCTTGTTACAAGAGATGCAGTGCGGAAGGCATTTCTTGATTCTGTACTGCCAATTCAACATTCACTTTATCTTAGGATATTTGCTGTTATCAATTGGAATGGCTCTGTCAGCTAAAGACGGTATAAGTCTTATCCTTGGACTGCTTCTTCTCTGGGTTGTGATATTCAGCATGTGAATATTATAGCACAGCAATGAAGAAGATGAGTCAGGGCTTCCCTGGTGGTGCAGTGGTTAAGAATCCCCCTGCCAATGCAGGGGACACGGGTTTGAGCCCTGGACCGGGAAGATCCCACATGCTGCTGAGCAACTAAGCCCGTGCCCCGCGACTACTGAGCCTGCGCTCGAGAGCCCACGAGCCACAACTAGAGAAAACCTGCGTGCAGCACTGAAGACCGAACACAGCCAAAAATAAATAAAATAAAAAAAAAAAGAAGGTGAGTCAAAGGCAAGCAAAGCATTATGGTGTCTACCTGCAGAAGGAACCTCCACCTTCATCTGGGCTGCAAGAGCCAGAATGAGCCTATTATCCATTTTTGAGTGCAGAGCCAGGCCTCAAATGTATCTCTGTTTTATTTACTCTTCTTAAACCTGAAATAAATTTTAGTTTTTAAGCTATAGCAACAACAACGACAACAAATGGTTATTCCATGGACCGCAGCTTCATAATAGTTTTACACTTCAGTCTCAACGCTGTTGCACCTTTGATGGCACAAAGTCAGCTGCCCGACACTGATGGCCTAATTCATAAGAAAGCACGCAGCACAGTCTCTGGCACCTGGTATTAATAACAGTTGATCGTAACTGTTGAGAACTGGAATTCAAGGGCAGCTTCCTCTACCAGTTTCTCCAAGATTTGTTTTAGGAAGTTTTCCACCTAGGAAGTCATACTAACGTGCTTTTCTCTTATAACTAAATATCACTAGAAGTGGAAGCTTGCAGGTTCGTATCTTTTTCAAGCCTCAACTCTGCTTCCAAAGAATTATGATTTGCTCTGTTGAAGGAAATCTTAAACATACAAAACTAATTGCAGACCGGATTTTGCAGTAGTCACTGAAGTCCAAAGTTTTAAATTATTTTCATGAATTATAGTGGAATGAAGGAAGGGAAATGATGTGAGGGCAGGATGGTTATTTTTGTGACTTCTTGTAAGAAAAGTGTTTTATTCTTCACAATTACTCATCCTTTGGAAGCAGGGCTAATCCTTTATCTGAGAAAGGCAACCAATCATGGTGTCTGATTGGAAGGGCACAGAGAGGTCTCTTTTCTACTCCAGTAAGAAAAATGGTTCTCTGATTGGTCTGCCACCATGTCTGAAATTCCAACTATGATGCCTTAGTCTAAAGACAAGACTCTATTATAAAAATGCAAATACATTCTCCAGGAAAGGTAATATTTTATATCCATACAGATAATAAATTAAAAAAAAAACTAACTGGTCCATTAGCTTGTCCCAGAGGAAATGGGTGCTAGAGAGGGTTCCAGTCCCTACAATATATTCAATCACAGATGGATCACCACTTGTTAGTGACATTACAAAAGTGACTCTTAACATTGATCGGGTCATTGTGATTGCATGAACACTAGTCTGTGTGCTCCCTGAGGCCGGGAGCCCCATCTCCCTCTTGGAGTCCCCAGTATGTAGCCTGTGGCCTGCTGGCACGTAGTAGGCTGTATAGTCCCCTAGCCCCCTCTTTTTAAAGACTGTTTTTTTTTTAAAAAGAGCAGTTTTAGGTTGACAATAAAATTGCAAAGAAGAAGGTACAGAGATTTCCCATATACTCCCAGCCTCCATGTATCCATAGCCACCTCTCTTTATCAACATCGCTCAATAGAATGGTACATTTCTTTTCTTTCCCCTTCTTTTTTACCAAGGATGAGCCTACTTTGACACATCAAATTACCCATAAATCCATAAGTTTATCTTAGGGTTGACTCGATGTTTTACATTCTATAGGTTTGGACAAATGTGTAATGACGTGTATCCATCATTATATCATGCAGAGCGTTTTCACCGCCATCGAAATCCCCTGTGCTCTGCCTATTCATCCTCCACCTGCCGACAACCACTGATTTTGTCGTTATCTCTATAGTTTTGCCTTTTCTAGAATGTCTTATAATTGGAATAAGACAGCATGCAGCCTTTTCACATGGTCTTCTTCGCTTAGTAATATGCGTTTAGCTCTTCTGTGTCTTTTCATGGTTTCATTGCTCATTTCTTTTTAGTGCTGAATAATATTCCATTGTCTGGATGTACCACTCTAGTGATTTTTCCTCAAGGTAAAATAAAACTAGTAGATTCACTTGGCCTGTGTTATTATTTTTTTTTTTTTTTAAATTAATTCGTTGCTTCTAGTCAAACTGGTCTGTATGCATGTAGGTGCAGCCTCCTATTTGCCACGCCACATTTCTATGCATCAGATGTTAGAAAAATTGATGTCACAAAATTAGACACAATTAGGAAAAACTTGACAATGCTGTTATATTATTTGTCACATACTTTAAGGTAGTTTGGTATAAACAGTGTGCTGGATATGGGGTTGGTTGACATACAAAAAAATCTTATCAGGAGCCCACTTTCCACAGGTGGGCCCTTCAAATGCTTCAAAAGTTATTTCTCACTTGCGTTGGGGGGATGGGTTCATTTGCCTGGGGAATGCTAGGAGGAATTTTTCACTGGGAAGTGATTAGTGTTCCAGGAATGTGATTGCTTAGAAAGTATAATAATCTAGCAAACCCAGTAGTACATCAGTTGTCAAAGAGCCCTGAAGTGAAAGATTGCCCAAGTGAAGCCAGTCTTTACTCAATGCTAGCTGGAGGCTGTCTGAAAGGGAAACTGCCCTGCTTTCCGGCAGTTAGCAGAGTTTTACAGCCTTGGGAAGGGTTACAGCCTCCCAAGTTAGGAGAAAAAGAAACAAGAAAACAGTATGTGTTGTGTGGAACTAGGCAAACGTTCATTTCTCTGCTCTCAGAAGTGGATGGTCTAAAGATAAGAAAATTTGGGAAATTACGCTTTGTGGGTTCACGCTTAGGGAGGAAACTGGGCATTTAAGGAAGCCCAGGAGAGCACATTTTTCAGTTCGGGGTTGCAAGGCTGAGATCTTGCACCTCTTGGTGGTTCAGTGGTGTTGTTGTGGAGATTGCATATATCTTAACCCTTCACACATCCGTGCAACTGTGTTCTAGGTCTGGATTTGTCTTGGTCTTGTGCCTTTCTCCCTTGCTGGCATTGTCACCTGATAAGACAAGAAGACTAGTAGATCCTGCTTTCAGAGCACTGTTGAGTTACCTGGGAGCTCCAGTCTTCATCCTAGTGACAGATTGCTCTACGAGAGAAGCAGGGACAACCCCAGGCTTAAGGAAGCAGTTAGTGGGATTGATTTTGTGTTTACTTACTTTATTTGTATGAGAAGCAGAATTATATTTGAAACTTTTTTTTTCTATAGCACCACAACTGGTGGCAATATATCTGCAGCTGCAGGCATATTCCTAATCACCGAGGTTCCTGATAGTTAAAAGAGAATCTACGTATGGATTTAAGTCCATTCAGAACCAGTATGGACAGGGAAAAGAAACTAAGGGATATATTGGGTTTAACTGGGGCTGACACAGTGCTTGGACTATTGGAGTCTTCATAATAATCCTATGAGATAAGAATTATAACCCAATTTTGTAGGTATGAAAATTCAGACAAAGAGGTTAAGTAATTTTCCCAGGGTCAGTAGCAGAGTTAAAATCTGAAACAAGCTCTGTTTAACATTCTCTTATTCCAAAGCCTAAGCATTTGCAGTAGCAACACCTTCCTTCTCAGTATATGGAAGAAGGGATGTTTGTGATTCCATCTTGTAGAATAAAAGTATACCGAAGAGAAGGCATTTTAATTTAGTGTTCATTCTTACTTTTAAAATATTTGTTCTCCATCTAAATGAAAAATACGTTCTGCTCAATGCCATGAAAAATAAAGTTCAGTTAATTTTATGTTTGTTAGATTGTTGAGATTTCCAGACATGGTTAAAAATAAAATGTGTTATTTTGCTATTTATGGTTTGAAATGCAAGCTCTTTGGGGAAACTGAATTGTTTGGGGGTTTATAAAGCTCTTGATTCTTTCTTGCTCATTTTCACTGGGTTTGAAATTGAAATTATCCAGAGCAGCAATAGCCTTGAAGTATATTTTGTATTCCATCAAGAAACCCAACATGTCCTTTCAAAACTTAATTGAGCAGCACAAAGCTAATTAGCTGTCTGAAGGCACAGCATTTAATTCACAATCCAGCATTAATTTGTTCAACACAATGAGCTTATCTTCCATATAAATGCCTTGCCCTATGGCTTCTCAAGCAGCTGCAATATACAAGAATGACTGATAACTCTTTTGTTCAAATGTGATGTTGGCTTTTATTCTCTCTTCCTTCATTTGGCCAAAAGAAGGATGAATGGCATGCCGATTGTAATGGGTGAGTTTTTTGTGTGTGGCAACTTTGAAGGAAATAGATGGCTAGAAGATCATAGCATATAGTCATCAGAGAACTACCAAGTCATTAGGGAATGCAGCCATTATCGAATCCTAGTCCTGCATTTCATAGACTCCCAGGAAATGAATGCACAAATGAGTTCTGAGTGTTGTCCAAGGTCACTTAATAGGGTGTGACATCCACATATTGTATAGTTTTTCTCCCCTCAGGAATAAGGAATTGCTTTACTCTAAAATAAGGGCCTAGTTTGCTGTTTATCAATTGGTAGCTAAATAGATGAGCATATTGAGAAACTAAGGAGAATGGTCCAGCAATGTTCCTACCAGCATAGTAATGTCTATCAAATGCTGTTATTTCAAACGCACCTATCCTTCAAGCCTCAGTTCAAGCCTTCCCTAGTCTCTGACCCTTCACAAATCTCACCTCCCTAATGTTTTAACCACTCACTTTGGATCTTACTTCCTAATTCCTTTAATAACTCATTGCGTGTGTGTGTGCATACATGCGTACAGATTTTAGAAATTTCGATTTTATAATGCACATCATTATAACAAGCTCATAGGAATAGGCTTTTGCAAAAATGTTATGTATAGCCAAGCCGTTTAGTGAACTTAGCATCTCATATCCAACAATTAGTAGAGGTAAAGTTCAGGGTTGACCCACAGGTGATTTGTGCTTGTGAACCAGTAGGGGCACACTCGGCAGAGAAGGGAACACAAGCCCGCTATGGTTCTGCCTACACAGCATTTTCACCCAGGTGGAACGTTTGCTTCTTATTGAAGTATTAAGATAATTGAAGTCAACAATTATTTGCTGGTGGCCTAATTCAGCGGAAATTTCCAAATCCTTATTTTACTTGCCACAAGCTGTGGTTCTGTCAATAAGACTCCTATAGCTATGTCATTGAGTCCGTGTACTTCTTAGAATTCAACACGCCTCTGGGCACATAGGTTCCGGAAGACCTTGTAGAATTGAGCAAGGAGCTGATGAAATATATCAACATTCTATCAGTGTGGGGTGTTCAAAGTTCAGTGAGTAACCAAAATGCTTGTTTGCACCATGCCAGATAACTGAATTGGATATCTAGTAGAATTGAGAGCTTTGTTTTGCTTTCTGAAGGCACTGTTTAAAAATCCATTGGTGAATGTAAAATAGATAGCTAGTGGGAAGCAGCTGCATAGCACAGGGAGATCAGCTCGGTGCTCTGTGACCACCTAGAGGGGAGGGATAGGGAGGGTGGGAGGGAGGGAGATGCAAGAGGGAAGAGATATGGGGATATATGTATACATATAGCTGATTCACTTTGTTGTACAGAAGAAACTAACACACCATTGTAAAGCAATTATACTCCAATAAAGATGTTAAATTAAAAAAAATAAAAATCCATTGGTGATGACATTGATTTTTTAATACCTCGTATCTGTTGGATTAGGTGAACTCATGCTGGAGGAACCTCCTGAATCCTAGAGGTGTTTAAATGCAAAAAGCTTGCCTATTAGCTCTCTATCTCCACTATAGGTCAGCTGGGTGCTCCGTTGCACAAGTCATGTAGTCTCCCCCAAAACGAGGGGCCCAGAAATGCTAGGAGGCCCTGGGCCCAGGAGGCAGAGAGCTGGGTGTATTTGATTAGCAGCAGTAATGATTACTGTACTGGCACAGACTGACTGTGGACTAGTCTCTCATGGACTAGTAAGGCCCTCTGTACCCCAGTCTCCTTGCCTTTGAAAGAAAAGGAACAGTATCACAACTTTGCAGGCTTAGCTTTGACACCACTGGAACGCTAGCATCAGGAGAAGGCAGGGGAGCTGGCAAGTCAGAGTCAGTTAAGGCCCAAACTAGGGCACTGGATCTCTTGGTAGGGTTAGTATCCAAGAAAAGTATACTGTCATCGGATAAGCAGGCAAACTGAGGCCTGATTTTGGCCTCAAGTCCATTAGGATGGAGAGCAGAGTAGACAAAATATTACCACCCAAAGCTGATGCTTTTATATTCTCTTACAAAAGTCATAGTCAATACACCTAGTTATTTTTCTTTACATTAAAAAAATACAGGTTGAGGGTGTTTTTTTTTTTTGTTTTTTTTTGCGGTACGCGGGCCTCTCACTGTTGCGGCCTCTCCCGTTGTGGAGCACAGGCTCCGGACGCGCAGGCCCAGCGGCCATGGCTCACGGGCCCAGCCGCTCCGCGGCACGTGGGATCTTCCCGGACCGGGGCATGAACCCGTGTCCCCTGCATCGGCAGGCAGACTCCCAACCACTCATTGCGCCACCAAGGAAGCCCTGAGGGTGTTTTTTAAAGGTAGATTTCAAATAGTTACTGCTATTCACAGAGATTATATTAATATTCCCAGAGTGGGGAAAATAGATTTTCAATTTAGATATTTTTGAACCCCCAAATGTGTACACCGATGAGAAATGCTAAAATGTTGCTATGGATGTTGCTGCTTGGTTTTTCTTCATACGTCATACATTTCATGTCCCAGGACACCTCTTGAGGATAAAAACCATAGTGCATCACTTACCCTAACCAGATGTGTCACGGCCAAATTGATTATTAGGGCCATGGTGATTTAATAGTTCTGCGATGTCAAAAGCTGTTTTTCTTTGTGTTCGGTTGAACCTATAATGCTAATTGCAAGTGATTTTTGGCAATTATCAAGATTATTTGATTTGGGTAGGTCATTCCTTTCATCTTGCTAAACCAAGTCCTTTTCACCTCTTAATCTCACGTTTGTCCTGATAATTGCCTTCAAATTGGATTATCCAGGTATTCCTTAGTA